ATCAAATCATAACTTTAGCTATCATAAGTAAGGGGAAAAAATGTCATTGTTATTTTAAAATACCATATGGTTACCAAAATCTGGCTTGTAATAAAACTCTCAGCTTCTCAAAAACACACATGTGTATCTGTCTGATTATGAAACACTGAATTACATGCACCTGTCATGCTACACAATAATAATGCAGTAAAGTGTAGTAAAATAATTTACAAAAACTTTATGCACTCTGAGGTCACATCAAATTGATCAGTGAATCAATCACAAAAGCACTACCTTGAAGCAATGCAAAATATCCTGTTTGCTATACTACTGCTTGATCTAATTCCCTACAGTAAAATTTATAACACAATCCCAGAACACCACACTGAAATGAAATAAACCTAAATTACTAATTTTTGTTTTCTTTTACTTAGGATGAAACCAACTGTTGGTAGCCACTGTTACAACTTTCTTCAGGACACCTAACATCAAGCATTGTCTTTCTTTCAAAGACAAACTGTTCAAGGCCACAAAGGAAGCTTATGTTAAAGGAAGATAAGAAATCATGCTCTTATCTCTCATCCTTTTGTTCCAACCCTTATACCCCTCTTTCTCTCACATAAACTGGTTATTCCCTGCATTTGGGGCATATGGCCCTACATCATGGCCATACAGTGATTTTCTTGCTGGGAACTAAGAGTACAGGGGATCAAGGATTTGATTTATTTGAGACATAGCATTAATCCTCTGCCACTATTTTGTATTTCATTCACCATTTAGGTATTTTTTTGTCTAATAAGTTATTTTTTGTCTAATAAGACGTTTATCAGGCACCTCCTGATTTTCTAATTTACCTTGAAATTGTGCTTACATCCTCACAGACTGTTCTAGAAATTGTGGCACCATGGAGACAGAATTACCTCACTGAAGATTTAAAGATGATGAACAGACAGACTGTGAGAAAATTAGGTTTTTAAATGTTTTAAATTTTAATTTAAAATAAAACACCGAATGAAAAAATAAAAAAACTCACTAAATTAATTGATTTTCCAAATGGCTTTTTAAACATTTTCTCCCACATCACATATACTTCTCTCTCTCATTACTTTTTACATTTCTGTTTTGCTAAGCAAAAGACTAAACTCTCTCTGTTGTATATAGGAGAACTAGTTTGATCCTGAAGACTGAAATGGTATTGTTAATAGGAATAACAGAATCTATATATCTATACCACCTTAATGTGGAGACTGTTCTTCAAACATAAGTAGTTTCAGGAGCTGCAGAACCCATGCCTGAACTCCTTTTCTGGAACATGTGTTTGCAAGTGCTGACCAAGCGGTACACAGTAGCTGAGATATTCATTATATGTGGATTCAATGTGATGCAATATCACAGATTAATTTCTTCAGTATAGACATGAATTTGTCTCCTCTATCTGGCTAGATATTTTCACCACACATAATGGCTGACTGATCTACCCTTCTGTCAGAGTTAATGCTTAAAAATGGGAGAAGTCTCTCCAAGAATTATGGAGGAAAAGCAAAAAAAAAAACAAACTTAAAATGAAGGCAGAGGAACAGAAATTTAGGACCAAAAATATATGCACAGGAATGTCTTTGATGGAAATTATTTCCATGGAATAACTATAAACTAAAGTACCCTTTTTCTAGTCTTCCAGGACATAAATGTAGTACAGACTTTCTGGACTTCAGCTATTTTAGACACACTTCAAAGAAGTTCCAGTTTCTCTAGAGAACCATGCAAGCAGCTTGTGCTAATTACAGAGAGCCAGTTGACAACACAGCCACTTGCTCTCTGGAAACACATGCATTAAAGAATTAGGAAAACATAAATTAAACCAAAATATTGCAACATCATCCATTCAATTCAAGGTTAACAACTCAAGATTTGGATACTGCAGGAGACAATATTATAACTGCACAAGCAGTTACCAAATGCATGAAAAAAACCCTGGTGCTCAGTTTTATCCATAACTTCTTTCACTTCTAGTACTCCTAACAGACCTAGTCAGGCTCACACACGTGTTCCTTGTTATGTCCATTTGCTTTTCAGTTCCTTTCCCACACATCAAGCCAGACTATGAGCCTCAGGAGGGAGTTAGCCACTCCTCCAAGCTGCTGTGAGTCATTGTGATGTCTGCTGCATAGGCCAAATTAAGCCTGAATTTCTTGCTTCCACTAGGCAACAAGAACAATGAGGAAAAACATGACAAGGAGGTGAGAAAAGATCAAAAAGACAGGAATACTCTCCCTCAATATCCCTACCTTCCTACCATAGTTGTCATAGTGCATGGTGATGAACAAAGTAAAACAAAGACACAGTGTAGAATTGCAAAATTCTGTATTCCTACTTTCAAGTTTTCAGTCTTAAATCCTATTTTATCATGACAAATGAAAAAAACCAAACATGCTGCCTCATAATATATGTATATATTTGTGTACCATGTTAGAAGTACAAAGATGAATGTTGACAAATTTATCTTTGGATAGGAACATATATTTTGTTTAAGCCTAAAATAAAGCTGTATTAAATGAATACTTACCTCATAATTCATTCTCTTATTATTGTTTTCATATACATTCCTATTGTTTTGGTAAATGAAACCCTTAAGCACAGAAATTAAAACACTAACAGAAATTATTGATTGAAAGTTAATAAAACAAACCACTTCAGCATTTTTATGATATGGATACAGGAATATCAGTAGAGGAAGACTGGAATCACAAACATCCCTGCCACACACAATTTTTGAACTCTGAGATCAACAATTTTCATTTCATCGTAGTAGTCAGGACAAGACACTGAGGTAAGAAATAGGGGTTTTGGTTTAGATGATTCAATTTAAGTAATGCAGATGATTAAATTGCATTATAGCTTATTTTTAAGAAGCTCACTTCTTAAAAGGGAGTCAAGAAACTTCTAATGTATCGGTGGCTGGAAGGGAATTTTGGATCCAAAGGGGCATGAGGGTAGATGCCAGCATACACATGCACTTTAAAGGTACCTACTACTATCAGAGAGAAGATGTGAATTTAGAAGTTTTGCTGTATTGCCACATTCATATTCATAAAAAAACCCATGAATCCCAGCAATAAGACCAGCATTGAATATGAACCCTATTCCCATAACTGTATCACCACAACTCATGAACAGCACCTTGCTCCACTTGTAGGAGACTCTATAATTTCATTTTTGTGCACAATGCTTTAGAACAGTGGCACAAGTCCTCAGATCAACCAATTAAGTGATCCATCATGTGCAACTTACAACTGCTTTCTGGGCATCCCTGAGTAGCTGAAAGAAACCAACCTGCCAATCTCTGCAGCACACCCAGAACTTCACTGCAGACTCAACATAGCCTTAACATGCAAACACAGTCTTTGCCTATTTCCTTTAAAAGCACTGCTTACATCTCATCCCAGCTGAATCACCAGCGGTTTGTTTTCATTCAAATCCCTCTGCCAGACGCTGCAGCAACTAATGAACTGCAGAATCTGGTCTTTAAAAATTTGACTTAGCAAACAAACCATCAACATGTTGATGACACTACCACCCAAAATATCACAGTAACAAGAGTAACAATTTACATGGGCTCTAAGCCAGTCTGTCTTTCCTATTCAAATTTCAAGAAAGCATGACCTAATTCCTCTACAAGTAGTAGAATCTGGAGCTTTTGTTAATTCAGTTTTCTTTCTTTATTTAAGCATATGTTTCATCACAGATTATTAGAGTCATTAGAAGGAAAAATTTTTATTTGGGTAAAATTAAATATGGCAAGCATATAGCCTATAATAAAAATCTAAGACTAACATCAACTTGCCAACAGCTGAATACCTGTCCTGGTCATCTAAGTAACAGACTCCCAAATTCAGACCAATCAGATGAACCATAAATTCAATTCTATCTATTTAATTTAATTCTATATATTAGAACCATGTTGTTTCTGTCAAGTTTTCTCAATCTTCCAAGAACTTTTACACTTCCATTATTATTCCCACATTACAATAAAGAAAGATTAATGCAGAGAAAACTGAAAAAAGAGGGAGAACAACTAAACAATAAGAAGTAGTAGACAGAACAAATAGGAGTACTGCTTCTCAAAAATATCAGATGGATATCCCCTGGAATTAGAAAGAACCACACAGCATTACCCTGAACAATTTCTCACAGCAAAGTGTATAAAAGTTTTTTTTTTACTTGCACTTAATACTTTCTAGGTAGTATTTTCTAAAATCTCCAGGTACCTGAAGAAGCGATGGCCTATTTTCTTTCACTTTAATATTTCAGAGTATTCCTCAGTTTATGGTTAATTTCTGAATATCAAGGACTTCCTGTTCTACATTCAAGAATATAAATTTGAACCAGAGTTCTGGTGGGTAAAATAATCACTTTCTCCCTTGTAAGAATGTTATGTAAATATCTAAATAACAAAAAAACCCAAGAAATATTTTTCTGTGAAAAGCTTATCTGATAATTAGCATTGCACTTTGGACATAACCTTTCATACACTTGCATAGGACAATATATGTGGCTACTACAGAAGTGGCCCAGCTGGATATGAGCACTCCTTTGTTCATACACATGCTGCAATAATGGTGTTGTCTTCATTCTGGACAGTACCTGAAGAAAATCTGCAGCCAGACCAGAGTTCAGCAGGGGGCTGCCCCCTGCACCCAGGCATCAGAAAAGGCAGTCACTCAACTACTATCACCAATCTGTCACTCATTTGAACAAAATACCACTGGAAATGGATAACCTAATTTACCAAGAAAACCCACTTCCTTCCTCAGGAATTTATACAGGCAATTTTGTACAATATTCAGCCATTCACATTCAAAAATCAGATGCAGAATTAACAAATAGCAGTAAACCACACATACAAAACATAAGGTCTGTTTCTCCAGATAAGAAAATACTGTGACTTATCACCATCTCTGTATAAAACAAGATTAAAAATGTCAGAACCTAATTTCTGCAAATGCTTCACCGCTTTGTTTTACCTGCTTCTGTGTACTTCAATCCTACTTTTACTTCTTCATGATTTGCTTTTGGTGGCGGCCAGACAGTCTGGAGTCTCCCTGGAGTCTTGTCATCTTGCTCTGAGGGACTCAGGTCAGGCTGTTAAAATTACACAAGAAAAAATTAAAATCTGCAGTATCAATTGATTCCAAACAGCAACTGCCATGCTCAGCTCTACACGTGTGCTCCAGAAAGATTATTTGTCTCATTCTACTGATTGAAACAGTGCTCAGTTGGTTGGAAGGGACACAAATAAATCAGTGTAGAAAATATTTTTGAGGAGGAAAGTAGCATAATGCATGTGACATGCAGTGATTTGTTGAAACTGTTCACATCACTGTGGAGAGCTGTCTATCCTATTGTGAACCACAGAGATGGCCACGAATGCTAGGATTTTTTCCTGTTTCTTTCTTCCAGAGTTAAATATTCCATAGTGTGCTCCTCTTACAAGTAAACATTAGAGCAATTCACCTAAGACATCATTTGACAATATAATTTTCTGGAAGCAGAGCTAGTTTATGAAATTCCTGCCCCACCCCCTGCAGATTGCTCAGTCCACATACCAGGTAATACTGCCACATCAAAGTAATGCTGCAGCTGTTAATGGGACTGCACTGTCAACTGGAATGCTAAAATAACTCTTTAAAAGGGGAAGGGGTGGAGGGGGAATGACCCACTAAACAAGCACTCTTTTAGAGGGATTTTCTGGGTGGTTTTTTATATCTCCAATATTTCTGTAATCTGATTTTCAACATGTTACTACAAGTAATTGCATAGACACAACTGCAACAACAGTGCAACCCTGTAGGAAAATGGCCCCATAAATGGCCCACAGGAGCAAGGGCAAGGAAAGGCTAGACCCCTAGGCTCTGGCTTTGCCCTGGGAAAATACCCATTTGCACTAGAGCGGACATTAAGCAGACATCTATAAAAGCCACTCCTGCTGACTGCTGTGCCTCCTCCCTCACTGTGTGTGATGACAGCTTCCCAAATAGGTTTGCTGAGAGCCACAGGAACGCTGACGCCAGCACAGCCACTGGTGTAAGCAGGAAGGAGCAAGCCAGGGATGGGAAGGGCACACTCAGACTGCACTTGCTGTACATTCCACAGCCAATGAATACCTGTTTTCTCCTCCCCACAGGTAATTTACTACAAACTGGTATTATCAGTTCACCCAAGTGTTGACCAGGATTTTTACATGTTTTTTTTAATATTACCTAAGAATAAAAATTTGAAAGAGAGTATAACCAACACAGAAAACTAACTTATGTAGCTTCAGGTTTAAGGTCCAATCCTGAAAATAGAATCCTTCAAGCAATTCCCCCTTCAGCCAACAAGAATCTCCTAGGCTGATTACATCTCCCAAAGATGTGGCTGTAAGAACTTTGGGTTGGGGGAATGCCAACCCAAAGGTTACTCATTTAATTAAAGAGTTCAAATCATATTCAAAGCCATTTATGATTGTATGAAAACTTTGCATTGATTTTTTTTCATATAATAACTACATCTCCATATGCCTAAGAGCATTAACCTTGCAAACACTTATATTAATCAAAAACTTGAGTTGTCTAATTGAAATCACTAAGTTACACCCAGATAAGGTTAAATGCTTATCAATATTTGAAAAGCCAGATATGTGCATGTAAACAAGAAGAAAAACCTTCCTGTTCTATGTCTTGAGCTGAAAATCACCCATAACTTCTTGTAACAACTCTTATCATACAATTATTCCTACAGGTAAAATGAAATACTACTTATAAAAATAAAATACTCAGTGAAAGAAAACAGAGCAAGATTCAGAAACTATTAAATAATATTACAGTAAATATCTGTAGCATCAAAATGATTTAAAGCCATAATTAACATATGGAGAACTGTCATGTAGAGATCTTTTAATATCAGAAACTGATTGTTAAGTTCTCACTTCTAATTGAGAGGCTTTTACTGTTGCCATCAGATGTGGCCAAATTCTGCTTCAACTGTAGATGATCAAAAATTCTGACAAATTAGCCCCAAAGTTTCCTTGGCTGGGAATCCAAAATTTGAGATTTCCAAAAGAGAAGCAATTCTGAAATTTTGACCTCAAGTCCCCACCAATAATACTTAAACAAGAATATTTAATCCTTCTACTTCCAGATCTTAGGAAAAAAAAAGTAATTCAACCTACAGATTTGTCTGATGGTCCATCCCCAGGTTTTGATTTTGACCTTTCAAATACAGCTTTCAAGGACTCTTTTTCATGTCTCATTTTGCGTTTCAGGGCTTCCAGCTCTGAAGGATCTGCAGTTGTTTCTTTCTTGGGAGGTCGCGTGAATAAGGCTTTAAAGGCATCCAGTGCAGATTCAGCAGGGCTTGATTTTATCTCCTCAGAGGGAAATCGTGGTTCTCTTTTGCTGGAGGCTTTGTTCTCTTGAGCTTCATCACTGTCCTCGGTCTCCCCAGATCCCTCAGCAGAGTCCTCAGTTCTATCTTCATTCTTGGAGACGTCTATGTTTAACAAATGCGAGAGTTGTTCTAGAAAAGTGGGATTTGCTTTAGGTTCAGATGATTTTTTTTTAATGGTCAAACCTGATGCAATATTGGATTTCTTAACAGGCTGTCGTAATTTAAGGAGAGCTAAATCATTCTCCCTTGGTTTAATTTCTGTAACAGTTTCCCCATCTTCTGTGGTTAGTCCCTTTTTCCTGACACGTAGTCCACTGAAGAAAGCAGGCAGCTGGAAAGTCTTTTCAGCCAGTGCTGTTTTTTGGAGTGATATATTATCAACGGAAGGTCTTTGTTCTTCATCTGAAAGTTCTTGAGGACATTCTCCTGTAGCAAGCAAATGAGTGAATTGCTCATCCATTAACATTTTGTCTTTTCCATTGGAGTCATACTGTAGAATACCATCCAGCTCTTTTGGGAGCTGGTTAGAGAATGGTGGGTGTAATTCAATGTCGTCTGTATCCACAGTGTCATCATTGTTGCTGTGCCCTTCTGATTCTGACTCTCCCTTATTTTGATTGCTGTTGTCCAAGGCCTCAGCAGACAAAGCAGCATTTTTTAGCCCATATTTGCTTGCATTGTTCTCATCGGTGTCTAGGTCCTTATTCTCCGTGTCCGATTCTGTGTCACTTGTTGTATGAACCAAAGTACCTTGTACAAGAATAACATCCTTGTCATCATTGTCAGATTCAGACAAAGAAGGCTGAACAAACCTCAAATGCTGAAGAAGTAATTCATTTTGGTCAGCTAACTCCAGCTCCAGGCCTGCCTGCCTGCCAGACATTGGGTCAGCCTGGCCACTGGTACTGTCCATGCTGTGCTGATTTTCTGAGTCCTCATTACATCCATTATCATTCCTCTCATGCCAGGTGTTAGCGTGAGTATTTATATTGCTGTGCAAAGGTTGAAATGCTTTAAGCACTGTTTCTTCTGTAGGAGCTGTAGATTCAAGCTTAGTTGTAAGTCCAAACAGTGTTTTCACAGAAAATGTAGTGAGTGGGTTAGGGTCGCTTTCTGCTGTGTTCTTCAGGTCTAAAAGCTGACTACAGTCAGGCGTCCCATTATGTTCTTCCATGTTGCGTGAAGTAGAGAATAGGTTCGCTCGCAGCAGTGCTGCTGACTGCTGAGCCAACACTTACTGTGCGCATTCAGGCTGCCGGCGGGCCGGCTGCCGGCGCTGCAACAGGCGGCCCGGCCCGGCCCGGCCCGCGCAGGCCGCCGGCCTCCCGCGCTCCCGGCCGGGCCGCCCCGCCGCTCCTTCCGCCGTCGGGGCTCCGGCTCCGCCAAGGGAGCAGCAGAACGACCCGCCGTAAAAAAACAGTTCTCGGCGACGTCCGGAGCTTGTTCCCTCGCGCAAGAGGGGTTTGTCCCAGCACTAACCTCGGCTGGAGCCCGACCGATGGTCCCCCGGTGCTCCGCACCCCGACGGGCTGCGCGCCCCCGGCAGCTACAGCAGCCGTCCCGCCGGGCCGAGCGCGCTGCGGCTGCTCCCTACTTCCTTGTCCCGGTGCGCCAGCGCTGGGTGGTTTTCAACAGAAAATTCCTGACGGATTCCTTTGCATAGTCTTTCCACTAGGATAAAGAACTTCTTTTGTAAATCCATAATCACCAAAAAATGTCAAATGGAAACCCGAGCAAACGACTCTGAAGCTCCCTGTGCCCCCTCCTGAAGCCCTTGGAGAGCCCCCAGTGCCCGGCCGGGCAGAGCCAACTCGGGTGAGCGCCCTTGAAGCAGAGGAAAGCAGGAAAAAAAGAGACTCTCTTCCGATTTGCTGGAGGTTTCATCTGGAATGCAGATTTCAGCCTCCAGGGCCATGAACAAAAACCAACGAGACTGGTTTCATATTACCACTGTCCTTGCCCTGCACAGCTGCTGCTGAGAGGTGCACGCAGGTACTTATCAGAGGCTGCGGCCGCGCCCAGGGACCGGGAGCGCCGGGCGGCGGGAGAGCGGCCAGCGCCCGGGAGGGCCAAATTAACTGTTTAGGAATCGGACCGCCTTGTCCATTACGGCACCAGCCTTGGATGGGTCCGAACCAGAACAATCTCTGCTGACATATTCTGTGATGATTTTCACTGACTTTCCCGCTGTATGTGTGAGATTTGTTTAGTTGAAACGAACAAGAACACTTGAAATGTACGAAACTGTCTAACTCAACGTTGACTGAAACTACCAGGGATACTATGGTTTTTTTTATCAATACAGATGGAGAAAGTATATACAAAATACTCTGAAGCACTGTTGATATTCAGAAAGTCAGTAACATTTGGAGCAGGTTTCCATCACAAGTCTCCACTTTTGCTACTTTTTTTTATTTACCCAAGTTAAAGGGTAGTTCTACAGTCATACATTTAGCTGTGATGAGTAATCTTAAGCAAGCAACATGGGAAAAGCTGTCCTTCGCAGGGAAATCAGCTACAGATCACACTGCTGTATGTGATTACCAAAAAACTTTTACTAAAAAGCTGAATATCGCAGCCAACAAGCAACAACAAAGTATCCCAACACATTTAGCTTTTGGTTTAATGTTTAAAAATGTAGACTGTACAAAAAACATTTGTCAACAGCAAAAGCAAAAGCCATTGGTATCTCCTGCAGGAACAAGGTTTCCTGAAAATCAGATTGTAATATTAAGGGCTTGGATGAAGCTTATAGACACCTTTTCAATTAGAGGGTTGCATGCATACCTATAGACAAAGGGCATTAAAATCATTCCCATCTTTATCTGTGATTTCACAAGGAGCAATGTCTTCTGCCCTGTTGCCTGGCATTTCCTTAGCAAGCTCTGGACTTGCTTCTCCGCTATGCTTAATCATCAGGTGCCAAGGTCAGAAACAACTGACAGGCTCCCCTGGTTTCTAGGCTCAATATCACAAAATGAAGCTCTACGTAAAGAAAGAGACAGAGTCCTTACCACCCCTATGCCAACCTATTCTTAAAATTCCAGGACTTATAAACAGGTGGAAGGAAGCTACCACAACACTGGTGACTTTCCCCAAGACAAAATTTCTTCAAGGCAAATCTAAAGCAATTCTTTATTCCTTTTTATGGCAAAATAAATGGGGCAAAGTGACAATACTGGGCCAAAATTTTCTACATTTAAATGCACATCTGTTTTTATGTTCAATTACATGATTAATTGTTCATTGTTCTGATAAATTGTATGGTTATGTCTTGCTTATTTATTTATGTGCCTACTTATTTGGGGTCATGATACCTTTTAAACTAAACATACTAATTCAGATTATGCCAAAATATGTATTCATCTGTTTATATTAACAATAGCCCATACTTAGAATAAAACTTCCCTATAATAAAAAAGGGTCACCAAGCTGTAACGATCCTATGAGTAGAAGGTTGATGATTACAGCCACTATTTAACAATTTAAGGTTTTAATGAACTTATGAAAAGTTTTGTTTAAAAGTGGACTTAAAACAGGAATCTCATACTTTATGTCTAAACAGCATCCCAGCAAAATATAGCAGACCAGGATCAAATTAGAAGTGAAAAGAATGGTGCTTTTAGTGTAAAGGTTAAGTAACACAAATATTGAGGCACTAGAAATCCCAGAGTTGAACAGTGAATAATTAAAATTCCTGAAGCTGAAATATACTCTATATAAACAGAGGTAATCCCACAAATCTGCAGAAAATACTGCTTTATGTGCACCTCTTTTTGTAGTAAACTCTAGGAAGTGTGGAGAAACTTTCAAGCTTTTTGAGCTCCAGGATTAACAAGGAAACTCATCTCCACATATATGCCTGGAGAAATACTCAAAACCTGAAAGTCATTGTGATGAATGAGTCAGCCAGTCTCTGAAATTCACCACACAGTCCACAAACTCCCAGCCTAAAATATGGCTTTTGTAGAGACCTTCTTCCTGCATTTTGATGATCAGCCCAGTGGAGAGCCTTTTGAGGGACTGAATAGCTGACAATGAAATACATTTTGGTTACCTACTCAAGAGTGTTTCTGGGTAAAATACATACATCAGTATGTGGCCTTACAAATTTTGATATAAAAAAGAGGTAATCATTGGGATGTAAAATGAGATGGAGTCAGTTTGTTGGTAGAAGTGTTTTAATGCTGGGTGGATCTATCTCATAAGGAAAGTCTGAACAGGCTGTAACACTGCATCTAAAGGAACAACTTCAAAATCTTTAGAAAAAAGCAGTTATAATTATGTTACAAGCCTCTTTACTTAATAAAACTGACAACTCTGTGGTGCCTCAGAAAAGCCCTTAAAACCTGTCATAGCGACTTTCAAGGCAGTCAATGCACTAATTATACTAAAGGACAACCATTCCTTACAGTTTAAAGCACATTTAACAATCCACACCCTTTTTGACCTACATTTCATCACAGACAGAAGTCACACCCACAACACACTCTAGTTCTGTTCTTGAGGTGTCTAAAAGCTCACCTGGAGTAGGTTTTAAAACTGGCTTTGAAGAAAACACACATTAAGCCAGAATAAGGCCATCTAATTTCTACCACTATCATATGGCAGGGCTCAGCACTTCCTGACCCCTTATCTATTCAGATTGCCTTTTCAGATCACTGTAGTAACAAACTAGATAAACATGAACAGGAAGAAAGACATTCTACAAAACAGCAAGATTGCTAAACTGAAAACATTTATTCTACTGTTTTTTTTCAAAATAAAGAACCCCAAATCTAGAAAAGTTTGCATAACTTTTTGAAAATAATCATGGAATCAAATATGGACCAATTGCATCAGGCTTCAGAAGAGCCACGAGAAGCAGCAGGCTCTGTTTGTAGCTCAGGTGGCTTGAACTGATCTGAAGTTCAGCTGACAGTCTGCTCTCTGCCCTGTCCTCAGCCTAACCTTCACTGTGCAGGTTGATAATGGTCTTAACATTCCCCTGCTCTCCTGCTGATTACCTCATTTTAAACTTAGTATTTTAACCTGTTAAATGCTCTTAAAGAGGAGAGGCAGGGAAGATAAAAGAAAAACTATAAGGCCTTGATTTTCATCAATATTCTCAGCCTTGTTGCCTCACTTAGACCATTACGTGAGCAGCTTTCCTGAGTTTTGATGGAATTGGGTATCACCAACATAACTGCTTTAAGTAATTAATTTAGATGAAGCAACAGAAACATAGACACGATAATTCTTATCAGAATTCAGCAATACATGATGTTAACAGAACGTGTGGACGCCAGACACGTTTGGTGAAGTGTAAAATGCAAAGTGTTTTTTAACATTTTCATCTAAATTCTGATTGACATTGAGATATGGACTACTTTAGAGAATTTGAAAAAGCACTGTAATAGCTATACTGTTATAAAATCAGAGAGCACATTAAGAAACTCAGTTTACTATTTTGCAGGAGTGCATACTGTATGCTGTATCAATAAATGGAATATTAACCTGTAAAACCTATCATATGAAAAAGCAGTGGTAGATCTGAGACAGAAATTCTAGGAAGATGTATTGATGGGTCTGGTTAATATGAGCAGACATACAAGTAAAAAAGACAGGGAACAGAAGATCACTATAAACTGTGTAAGTAAGCTAATGAAGATTTTGTACATTAAGGCACAAAGGCTGGCACTTAGTGTTACAAAGAATGGAGATGAAATTTCCTTTTATAGGTTATGCTCTTTTCATCTTCTTTTCATTTCAACAGGCCTTTTGCTCCCCATCTCAATGTGATATAGTAGTTTTAAGCTTAAACAAAAAGCTTTATAAAATAAAATCCGCATAGTTGCATTAATTTACCATAATTTCTTAAGTAATTACTAACTGTTAATTGCAATTTTAGCTGCATTCTCACATCTCACTAATGTGCTTTTTGATCTGAGATGAAATGCTGTATAAAAAATAGGGTGGAGTTTCATTTCTATTTTGTTTCATTACCTTTTATATCTCTTTATCTTCTCCCCACCTAAGGTTTAAATTCTAATGCAAGATCTTTTTTCATGCTTCTGGTGTAGATTGTAGAGAGTAGAATTCATTCACTCTCTCTGTCTCATCTAGATTATCTACTGCCTTCCATCTAATAGAAACATAGAAACATCTTTTCAATAATGTAATGGACAAGCTGGAGAAGTGGGCCAATAGGGATATTATGGGGATAAACATGACCAAGTGCAAGGTGCTGAACCTGGCTCAGGGCAATCCCTGTTATCAGCACAGGCTGGGGATGAACAGACCTGCCCAGAGGGACTTGGGGGTGCTGGTGGGTGAGAGGCTGCACATGAGCCAGCCATGGGCACTGCCAGCCCAGAGAGCCAAACGTGTCCTGGGCTGCATCCGGAGCAGCGTGGGCAGCAGGGCCAGGGAGGGGATTCTGCCCCTCTGCTCTGCTGAAACCCCACCTGCAAAGCTGCATCCAGCTGTTTTGGCAGAAGGAAAGGGAACAGAACGTAGAAGGAAGGACATGGAGCTGTTGGAGTAACTCCAGATGAGGGCCAGGAAGACGATCAGAGGGCTTGAGCACCTCTCCTGTGAAAACAGGATGAGAGAGTTGGGGTTGTTCAGCCTGGAGAAGATAATGGTTTGAGGAGACATTACAGCACTTTTCAGTACCTGAAGGGAGCTACAAGAAAGCTGGAGAGAGACTTTTACAAGGGCCTGTCTTGCTAGGACAAGGGATAATGACTTCAAACTGAAAGAGAGTAGGTTTAGATTAGATATTAGGAAGAAATTCTTTGCTTGTGATGGTGGTGAGGCACTGGAACAGGCTTCCTAGAGAAGATCTGGATGCTCCATCCCTGGAAGTGTTCAAGGTGAAGTTGGATGGGGCCCTGTGCAACCTGCTCTAGGGACAGGTGTCCCTGCCCATGGCATGGGAGTTGTAATTAGATGATTTATAATGTCTGTTCCAACCTGAACCATTCCATGACTCTATAACTCCATAAGCAAACACTAGTGTATCTATAGATGCACATAAAAAATTATATCATACCTATTAGTTAGGGTACTCATAATCCAGAGCAGGCAGAGTTTT